GCCCGCGGCGCGCCTGGGCAGCATGCTCCGGGTGCTGTTCCTCGGCGTGCTGGCTCCCGCCAGCCTGGGGTTCCCGGCGCTCTCCGGGCCGCAACCCAGCGGTAGCCAGTGCGTCGAACACGACTGCTTCGCGCTCTTCCGGGGCCCTGCGACTTTCCTCGCCGCCAGCCAGACCTGCGAGCGCCTGCAGGGCCACCTGATGACCGTGCGCTCCTCGGTGGCGGCCGATGTTATCTCCCTGCTGCTGAGCGGCGACGGCGGCGACGGCGGCGACGGCGGCGACAGCCCGCGCCTCTGGATCGGCCTGAAGCTGCCACCCGGCTGCCACGACCCCGAACACCTCGGGCCCTTGCGCGGCTTCCAGTGGGTTACGAGCGACAACCGCACCAGTTACAGCAGGTGGGCCCGGCCAGATCGCGACGGGACTCCCCTCTGCGGCCCGCTGTGCGTTGCTGTCTCTGCAGCCGGGGCCCCTGCGCCGGGAGAGCCGGCCTGGGAAGAGCAGTCGTGCACTGCTGAGGCCGAGGGCTTCCTCTGCGAGTTCCACTTCGCAGCCTCTTGCAGGCCCCTGGCCATGGAGCTTGGTGCCGCGGCGACCGCCGGTGTCTCGGACACCTATAGCACCCCGTTCGGGGCCCGCGGCGCGGACTTCCAGGCACTGCCGGTGGGCAGCTTCGCCTCGGTGGCGACTCTCGGCGTGGAGCTGGTGTGCGCAGTGCCTCAGCATGGAGCGGCCGAGGCGCGCTGGGGCAGGGCGGCACCGGGCGCCTGGGACTGCCGCGTGGAGAACGGTGGCTGCGAGCACTCGTGCAACGGGAGCGCTGGGCCGCCCCGGTGCCTCTGCCCTGCCGACACCGCCCTGCAGGCTGACGGGCGTTCCTGCGCTGCGCACAGTGCGCACTCGTGCTATGGCCGCTGCGACCACTTCTGTGTCCCAAACCCAGACGTGCCCGGCGCCTACACGTGTATGTGCGAGACAGGCTATCAGCTGGCGGCCGACCAGCACCGGTGCGAGGACGTGGACGACTGTAAGCTGGAGCTCAACCCTTGCCCGCAGCTCTGTGTTAACACGCCGGGCGGCTTCACTTGCCACTGCTTCCCCCACTACGAGCTGGTGGAGGGTGAGTGTGTGGAGCCAGTGGACCCGTGCTTCGGTGTGAACTGCGAGTACCAGTGCCAGCCCGTGGGCCACACTGACTACCGCTGTGTCTGCGCCGAGGGCTTCGCTCCCAGTCCCCTTGACCCGCACAGGTGCCAGATGTTCTGCAACCAGACCGCGTGCCCGGCTGACTGCGATCCCAACAACCTGGACAGCTGTCACTGCCCCGATGGCTACATCCTGGACGACGGCTCCATGTGCACAGACATTGACGAGTGCCATAACGGCGACTGCCCAGGTGAGTGCCGCAACCTCCCTGGCAGCTTCGAGTGCATCTGCGGGCCCGACTCGGCCCTCGCCGGCCTGGTTGGCACCGACTGTGACCCTGTCACGGTGAACGACAGCGAGGACAGCGGCTCTGGAGAGCCCCCGGCCAGCTCGGGGCCCAGCACCACCTCGGGGCCCCCACCCTCGGGGCCCTTGCATTCGGGCGTTCTTACCGGTATCTCAATCGCTAGCCTCTCCCTGATAGTTGCGCTTTTGGCTCTCCTCTGCCACCTGCGCAAGAAGCAAAGTGCCACGCGGGCGGAGCTAGAGTACAAGTGTGCGGCCCCCGCCAAGGAGGTGATGCTGCAGCACGTGCACACGGAACCGACACCTCAAAAACTCTGAGGGCCTGGCTGCCCTCCCGGGGCCGGGGTGTTGGTGTGGCCTTTTTCCTCCCTGCTGTGCTTCAGCCCCGCTGCCTCCGCACCAGCCTTGCTCCCTGGTTAAACCAAAGCACCCTAGCTGGACAGAACTGGAGAAGAGCCCCGCCTCCCAAGCTTCTTTTCTTGAGTCCAGGCAGGACTGGGGAGTGGAAGGACCAGTCCCACCTTCCTCCACGATGTCTCCGGACAACCGGACAGAGAGGACAATTTACTATTAAGACTCAGATTGCAAGGTGCTCCTGAGCGCTCGCCCCGGGCCCAGGAGTCCTCAGCCTTTTCAGCAGGCCTGTGCCTGGCGGACTAGTGAGTGTAATCAGTGTGTAGATGATAATCAGAATATTTATTTTTTTAAGTATTAGAATTTTTTTTTTCCTTTGCTTTCTTCTCTATCTGTATGTCTCAGATGCCCATTTTGTATCTCTCTCTCTTTCGCTTGTCAGAGGGCCTTTAAACTATTTTGGTGAATTTTTTTCCAGCCCTCAGGCGTTTGTGAAGCCAAGCCCCATATTCCCCCTCGTTTCTCCCAATTTTCCCCTCTCAGGAAATGGGCCATCCACCCAGCCTGAGTCACCCTGCTGGTGTCTAACCCCATTCTGAACACCTCTGAGATAGACACAGCCCATTTTATTACTAAAAACAAAATGCGTTGAACATTTGCTTTTCACCAGATTTGCTCATTTATTTATGGTTTCTGGAGCAATATAAAATTAACAGAGGTTAAGGTATGAGAGGCTTTGGTGAAGTTAATGTTGCTGGACTGTCATAGAAATTAAACCCAAGTTATTTGTTTTAATTTAAAATTTTTTAAACAGCGAACCTGGATTTTTATTATTGTTGTTTTGATTTGGGCTGAAAAGTGGTAATTGTTGCTAAAGCTTCTTGTGCACTTTTCCATTTTTCTTCGTATTATTTTTGACGGTGTTGGAAATGTTCTCATAGTTGTTCCAGATTTGGGAGAGGAGGGAAGCCCCTCCCAGGTGGTGGTTTAGGAAAATCTGGAGCTACAGGATTCATTACCGTTTGGATTCTCACTTCTCCTCTGTCACCCCTGGACAAATGGTGAAAATAAAACCAGGTCTACTGGTGATGTGGGATCTGGGAGCTTGGGAATGGAGCCTGGAGGATGCTCAGTTAGGGCCCCACCTGATCAGGCCCTTGAGAATTTCTCCCCAACTTTTACAGGGGCTTTTCAGCCTCTGGCCCCTCCACTCACTGGGAACATCCTCCCAGACAAGAAAGGTAGCTGTCCCCTGGGAGCTGGCTGGAAATGCAGAACTTCAGGCTCCACCCCACCGACTGTAAGAGAATCTGTACTTTAACAAGAGCTGCACGGGTTGTCAGCCCCACAAAATTTGAGGACTGTTCCAGACAGCTTCCAAACTTCTGTAATACATTAAATGTTGGTCAGTAATAAGTAGCAGGCCACGTCTACTTTATTCTCAAGAAACTAAGGAATTTTCACTTTGTAGCTTTGCTTTCTGGTCGGAAAGACTAGGTACACGTCTCTAGACGTTTTTAAGCAGGTGAAGAAGATTTTATGGTTCAGTTAAGCTAGAACAATGAAATCATACTTAGTGTATGGAAAAAAATGTATCATATCGTGTGTGTCTTTTGCAATGGCAAAGGTTTTCCTCTATGATTTTGTAAACTCAGCACATTTGTACATATTTATTTATTGGAAATAAAGTACAACACAGGCAAAAAAAAAAAAAAAACCCGGCTTATGATTTTACATGTAGAAAATAAATTACAGTGTGCTCCTGGGTTAAGTGCCTATTCACCTCCCCTCCCTTAGTCCCCTCATTTTATGTCATCAAATGGCCTCAGGGACAGTGCAGATGCCCATGAGATGTGATAGAGGCTTCTCCCCACCCTACCTCCAGTGCCATCTGGTCACAGCACCTTCTCTGACTTTTCAAAGATCTTTCCAGATGAGATGTTTTCACTGTAGAAGAATTTCATGTTATCTATGTGTGCACAAGTATTTATTTTTCCTCCTGTAACCATAACTCCCTACGCAAGGAGTTGAATCTGTGCATCTTAAAATACATTATAGGATTATTTGCAGGACAAATTAAAGAAACACTCCTTCCTGGAGCATCTCTAGAATCCCAGCTGTGGGCATTACCTGCTTCTGGAGAGATCAAAAACTGCAATAGTCACGAGGGGCCTCAGACTGTGGCTCAAATTCAGGCAAGCTTTTCTAAACACCAACTCTCATCCAGTATCAGATCCAGGGTTTCGAACCAGTTCCTTCTGGCTCAACCCCCTGCTGATAATTTGCATTTCTAAGTTCCCAGGAAGTTACACATAAGAATCACCTGGGAATCTTGTTAAAATTTAGATTCTGATTCAGTATATCTGTCGTGGAAATGCAAGATCATTCTCACTTCCATGTCTTTTCAATACTCAGCTTTCTTGGGTCCCTTTTCTGGGATGGGTGGGCCTAACAATATCTTCATAGAGCAAAAGTTAGAGGGAAATTGAGCTTAAATATTCAGGCATTTTTATACATGTGGATAATACTTTCTCAGTTTGAATCTGAGAAGTTGTGAACACGCAGCTGGAGAATTCAATATTCAGCTCAGATGAGGTTGGCAACCTTAGTTGGGGGGGAGGGGGGTTGCTATGTGCACCACCCTGAAAGGATAACAAGATGAGCAATGTTGCGATTAAGGAGTTTGGTGGACTAATAGAAAACCTAATTTGGTAATAAGCATACATCATGGAAGAAATCGATTTAGCAGGAGCATAATGAGTGTAGATAAATTGCTTTGGGAGTCCTGAGGAGAGAATGATAACTTACAAATTTGTCCTCACCGCCCTACCTTCCATTCTTCAAGAGGGTCTGCTACCAAGTAGCTGTCAAATTGCAAAAGGGTTCTTTGCTTTAGGATTTCTTCCTTCAGAGGAGAGGCATCTTCTTAAGGAACACAGAAGACCAAAACACCCTAAGCCCCAGAAACAAAAGCCCAAGGTGGGCACCTATGACCCCAGGCAACTGTAGGGTGGGGCTGGGAGCTTCCCTAACTGCTCACTTCCTGTCACCTGAGAGATCATCTTCTGTGGTTATCAGGCCTCCTCTGAACTCAAGATCCTCAAAATAGCTAAGTAAACACATCTCCTCTCTGAGAAAGACACCAGGACCAAGTAAACACCCGTTAGCCATCAATACTACCCCAGCATTTGCTACCAGGGGAGACCTTATGACAGAGGGGCCAGGGACATCCTTTATGGTCTCTGCTTGTTATTCTTATTGTTGGAAATCTAAATCTGAAGGAGAATCACAGGGCATGGTCATGGTCATGGTCCATGCTTGCTGATGATGGTCCACAGTTTGGCAGTGCCTGGGGGAGAAGATGAAAGAGGTATTTCTGGATAATCTAGAATTCTATTTTCTAAGTACGAAGGGCTTTTCGTTTGTTTCCCCCATGGTTCCAACCCAGGCAGAGGAGTGCCCGGGATGGTGTAGATGGTTAACACACTCAGTTGCTAACTGAAAGGTTGGTGGTTTGAATCCACCCAGAAGCACCTCAGAAGAAAGGCCTCGAGAACTACTTCAGGAAAAATTGCCATCAAGAACCCTATCGAGCACAGTTCTACTCTGACACACATGGGGTGACCATGAGTCAGTGGACTCGATGGCAACTGGTCTGGTCTGATCTGGAATCCAGGCCAGAACCCAGCAGCCTCACATCCTGGAGCTGCAGGGAAATGGGCCTGGCCCGTACCAGCCCTCACCCAAAGCAGTCACTCACACCGACACATGAAGTTTACCAAGTCCAAAGAGGAACTTACAAAAGAAAAATGACTTAAAGACCCAATTGTGCCACTGGCTCTTGCAGTCTGACCTTGGGTGAATTTCTTAACCTTCCTGAACTGCCTGCCATGCAGTGGCCCATGTAGGGATCTGGGACTCTAAGCCTCCTAGTGGAGTCACAGTTACTTCTGTGACTTTTCCCCATGACTGAATGGCCGGACCCCTGTGAGTCAGTGAGTGCATGCCCACGTGAAAACTTCGATTGCTGCATTTTATCTTCCAGGAAGGTGGTATTGTTAGTCAAAGGGCAGGAGCATTTGGAATTCTTCATCAGGATCATTTATGAAAATTTGTTCATCTTCCTCTTTCTGTGCAGGGAGAAAGAAGAACCTGAACTCCAAGTGGGGTGCTGGTCGATTAGGGACTAGAAGAACTCAGATCTCCAGGCCTGTGAAGTACTGGCCATAGCACCAGGCTCCAGGAAGAGCAGACAAGGCCCAGATGAGGGCTAGTGCGTTTTATGCTATTTCTTTTTTTGAATTGTGATATAATTCCCATACGTAAAATTCACCTTTTTGAGTGAACAGTTCTGAGTTTTGAAAAACCCATACATTTGTGGGACCACCACCATCATGATTATATAGAATATTTTCAGCATACCAAGAAGTTTCCCTTTTAATACCATTTAATTCAGTCCATGTGGAACCCTAATGACGAAGTTGTTAAAGCGTTCAGGTGCTAACCAAAAGATCGGTGGTTCAAACCCACCAGCCACTGAGTGGGAGAAAGATGTGTCAGTTTGCTTCCATAAAGATTTACAGCCTTGGAAACCCTATGGGGCAGTTCTGCTCTGTCCTATAGGGTTGATATGAGTTGGATTGACTCGGCAGCAGTGGGTTTAATTCAGTCCACACAGTGAATTGGGGGCTTTTTCCTTTTGACATGCCCCCTTTCCCCTTCCTTACCCCTTCCGGACCCTCCCACACCAAGGACCCAGTGTTTTCACATTTGAATCACAGAGATAAGCTTTTCTAAACAATGACGAGACAGCCCAATTCTCTTCACTTTCAGCAAACAGCGTTAATTAAACAGCTCATATCTCTGCCAACACCCTGCTCGGCTTGCCCGGTGTCCTGGACTTCTGCTGCCAAAACCCTTGGCAGCACACCAGGAGTGTGCGAAGAAACACAAAAAGCAGGACAGCTAAGCCCCCACACCACGCAGTTTCTGGAAGGGAGGGAGAGCCGGAAGGGGTGAAGTAAGTAAATGAGGTATTGGCTAAGGAACTGAGCCTGCTGCCTGCTTGGGTGCTGATGTGGTAAAGAACTGCATTTTCAGCTCTCTCTCTCTCTCTCTCTCTGCTATGGACTGGGCAGGTGACAGAAGCACCCTGAGTCCTAACTTTGGGGAGCTACTAGTGTTGTTGTGTTACGTGGGGGTTTGATATAGTATCATCAGTTCAGGGAAAACTGCGGTTACAAAGAATATGTAAAAACACATTTTCAGCATGGTCATGACTGGGTGGGAGACAGCCGAGCTCACAGGAGAATGCATTCCCTGACCTTTTCAGGCATTTCTTTGTAAAACAATACAGGCAACGCCCTGCTCTGGCTTCACTTCTTTTTCAGAATGTATGCCCGAGCCCAAGGCTATCTTTCTGTGTTGTGATGGATGGGTCCTTCCTCCTGTTTTTGGTCAGCCGGTTCAGATGTAGGCAAACAACTGAGTTCCTCCCACAAGAGAAACTAAATATTGTTTTAACATCAGAGTCTAACAGAATCAAAACTCTTTTCAGTGTGTTTTGAAAGTGGGATTACGAAAAACGAAAGAACAGCAGGGATGCCTTCGATCAAAGTCTCTCCCACTTGAAATAGGGGAGCAAACAGCAAACGGGCTTCAGAGATACAAGGACAAGCACCAACAATCAAAACTGGGATCTATGAAAATAAAGCCACCCAGGCAACGGCCAAACCTTCCCCTGAATCTCTGCCTGAATAAAACCTCCTGTGGAAATAGGAAATGTTGTGACCGATATTATCCTGAGATGGAAGCTACTTCTCTTCTGCATGTTCAGTGTGTGCAGCTTCTATTCCTCTCCTCAGAATCCTACTCTTTTTACACCGATGCTGGCTGTACCCCACTGCTAACCTCACCTAGTTGCTGGAGTAGAGAAATTCTTGGTTTCGATCACTTGGCAAGGCAGAGAGAGGCTAGTCTACAGTGTCCCTGACTCCTTCCCTCTTCCTTCTGCCTCAGTTAAACGTACTTTCCTTGAAAACAGGGACCCCATCTTCCACGAACTCTTTGGACTGTTAAGTCTTGTATAACATCATTCTTAAAAAAGGAGCACACATTACACACTTGTTTTTAGATGGTGATATTACACCAAAAGCACTACTTTAGGCAATTCCTTGACCAGGATTTGACTCCATTTCTTTCTTCAAATGTTTTTGTCCTCCTCTGAAGAGGTGGTACATGAGGAAAAAGAATCTGAGAGGGGTGCAGGGGCCCATCACGGCTGCTGTTTAAAATTTGTATCGTGAATTTTCAGAGCATGGGATACTGTTAATGAACATGGATTTAAAATGAACAGAGCCACACAGGCCAAACTCCAAGTTGTCTGCAGGCCCTCAGAAAGTGAAGGTCTTGGCATCTGGCTAGGTCTGGAGGGAGCTCTCACCTCCAAGGAAAGACTGGAACTCTGTGAGGTTTCGAAGAAAGTTCTGAGCCCCTGGCCTGCGGAGAAGACATACTCGCTCTCCAGAGTAAAAGATTATGAGATTAGCAACTTGCCCAGGAATGTACCCAAACCCCAGCTTTGTTGAAGAGTCATTTATGGAGCCCAGGATGCTTCTTTTCAAACCCAGGCAGTCGAGAGAAGAGTGGTTTCCTGTGTAAACGTATTGCGCCTCCCCTGCCGAGGGGGGAAGGAACTCAGGAAATGGTATAATTGTGTGGCCTTCCTGAATTTTGATATATCACCATCCTAAATTGGTACCCCTCATTCCTCTGTTTGTTTCATCCCTCCACGGTATGGCTGGTTAGACTCCAAAGGTTACAAATCCTAGCCACCCCATGGGAAGCGTGCTGTGCTAGACACAGTCTCATCTGGACTGGGGTGGCAGTAACACAACGGCTGATGCTTATAAAATGTCATAGAATTTTTATATTTACCATATGTAGACGGTAACTTACACAAAAAAAGTAAATTTTACCATATGTAAATTATACTTTAATAAAAGTAAGATGATTAAATCAGGATGACTAAAGAAATCTTGATTAAAAAAAAAAACTCTGCACCAACCCACCCTTCCCCCTTCTCTGTCATTTGGCCATACAGCGGTCACCTTCTGAACAGTGAACATTGCTCTGTGACAGACACTGTGCCCTTTATGGGTCACAGCACATCAGAGGCAGACACCACTGTCCTGCCCATTATACCAAACCAAACCCGTTGCCATTGAGTAGATTCCACCTCATAGCAACCCTATAGGACAGAGTAGAACTACCCCATTGGGTTTCCAAGGAGAAGTTGGTAGATTTGAACTGCTGACCTTTTCGTTAGCAGCCATGCTCTTAACCATTGCGCCACCAGGCTCCACCTCTTACACAGGGGCTACTTAATTCACCTGTGGTCATGGGGTTTGATCCCAGGTGAGCGAGTCGGAGGCTGTCCTCTCAACCTGTACCCTGCACTCCACACTGTGCCAGCTGCTTGTCCTGGACAGCCCACTCTCTGTGGGAATGAAGTCTCAAGAGGCCAGTCAGCCCAACCCCCAGGTTGCAGTGGGTTGAGGCCCGTGGTATCTGTTGATAATTAGGAAGTCATGTATTTTTATTTTCACAAAGTCAGTACTCCCATCCTAAGCAACACAGCTAATGAGCTTGGATTTTTTTTCTTACATGGGTTGTCCCCATTTTGAAAACGCCACTCCCCATTAGACACTAAGCTAACGCATTCATACGACTGTAGACCTGAACTTCTTGATAAAAAGTTGATGAGAGTTGAAACAAAAAGAAGGACATGACCTCTCCTCTTCAAACCTCCCCCTGAAAAGTGAAGTACTTCTCTAACAAGGGCCTACAGGTTTTGATGGGCTTCTTTGGCCAGATAGACTCAAGGCCCTGATTAGAGCCCGCCACTGCAGTCCCATGGCTCTTAGAACAAAGACCTAAATCTTTAAGGTGGCCTGCGAGACGCTGCTGGTCAGACTCCTGCCCATCTGTGTCCACCAACATCTCCAGCTGACCTGGCATCACCTACCCGCTTCAGCCTCTGTCCAGTTACACGGGGCACTTTATATCCCTCCCACCTCAGACACTTTGCAGCATCCTTTCTCTCCAACCCCTTTTCTAGTTAATTCCCACCTTTCTTTCCTTGGAGAAGCCTCCCCTGAGAATACATCCAAAACCAGCTGCTGTCGAGTCAATTCCAACTCATGGCGACCCCATGTGTGCCAGAATAGAACTGTGCTCCACAGGGTTTTCAATGGCTGATTTTTTGGAAGTAGATCTCCAAGCCTTTTTTCCAAGGTACCTCTGGGTAGACTCGAACCACCAACTTTTTGGTTAGCAGTCAAGCAGTTTAACCATTTGCACCACCCAGGAACTCAGACATAAGGTTGGGATCTTTTATTTATCATCCTATAGAAACCAGACTCCTTTTTTTGTACAGCTCTTATCTCAGTTTAAAATCGTCCTCTCTGTGGTTATGTCATCTGTCATCACTAAACTCTAAGCTCCATGAGGGCAGGGGCTTGCCTGTTCAGGCTCAGCATCCCCTCTTGGGGCCTGGAGCGTTGTTGGATGACAGCACTGAGTGCTGACTACATGCACACAGCCTGCACACGTGTCAGCATAACAGAGGCTCTGGAGCAGCCCAGGCTAACGGTGTTGAACACATGAAGTGTGGCAGAGACCACAGCTTTGGGATTTTAACATTTGTGCTTGGGATTTGAGGCTTACGGGAAGAGTGTGTGAGATGGAGGCAATTCACAACCTACAACCTGCTAGAGAAGAGCTTCAGTTGCCCCAAATTGCTTGGATTTGCCCAGTCCTGGTTAAAGCTTCTATTTGGTATTTCTGAGGCGGTACAGCCCAAGCCGGCCACATGTGGTTCATCCTCTGGCATCAGCCTGTAGCACCTGTGGAGTCCTATGTGTGAGTTTTTTAATGAAAGTGAAGCCAAGGATTTAAAGATGCATGGGAAAGTTCAGCTGTGTTCAAAGATGTAGCGCTGACACCTGGGCAAGAACTCTGACGAGTACCACTTATCACGTCCAAATCCCACCTTCCCAACTGTCTGGAAAAAGTAAAAGGCTTGTCGCTGAAGAGTAAATTAAAGGTAATTTTAAAAGGCAGTGCATGTTTTCTGATTGGGGGGTGGCCAAAGGCTATTTCTACCTATGACACAAGATGTTTTCATTCACGTTGAAGTCAAAAGCTGCTACTCCTAGTCCTCATCAGCAGAACAAGATTAGAGTAAAACCATGTCTACACTGCCAGCCTCCCAAACAGAGTGTCAACAGCCTTCAGGGACATGGCCACTTGCCCAGTTCACTCCTGCACATCACTGAAGTCTCAGAAGGTTAAGATCTCACGGATCCATCCCATTAACCAGAAAACTGGAAGGATATGTACTCTCCAGGAATGTGCAGTGCAAGATGCCCTTTGAATTATGCAATCCATGGAAAACATGAGCAGTTTGCTCCAGACTAGTGAGCTGAGACAAGGCCATAATTTAGGCCATAGATGCTAAAGCAGTCAGAGGAGATATGGAAACTCCTATAAATTGTTGCTTTGCTGATTTGTCTCTGGAGCCCTGGCAGCACAGTGGTTAACAGCTTGGCTGCTAACCAAAAGGTCAGCAGTTCGAATCCACCAGCTGCTCCTTGGAAATCCTATGGGGCAGTTCTACTCTGTCCTATAGGTTCACCTATGAATTGGAATTGACTCAATGGCAATAGATTTTGATTTGTCTCCAAACAATCACAACCAGTCCTTCTCCCGTTTGCTGGTGTAGACTGACCCAGAGACAAAAATCAACCAAGGGGTGTGATCAAGTAAAAAAGCAGCTCAACGGAGGTAGTATTTTTTATAATCTACCGGTATGAAAAACACAGAAAGTTTAATGCATGGCATTTGGACATGGAAAACAAGATGCCTTGCTCAATGGATGTAACAAGTCACATGCAACATTCTTTAGCTCTGTGACACAGGCTACTGGGGACCAGAAAGAAACATGGATGGACTCAATCCTCAGGGGTTCTTCCGCTGGGTGGCTTTCAGGGGGAGCTTGTGCCTTGTCTCCTCCCAAAAGCATGTGTATGTGCACATGTGCCTTCTGCAGAGTGGGATCCAAAACAGATGCTCAAAGGGTGTTGATCTGTAATGTCAGAAATGAGTGCTCTACCTCCTACAGAGAGCGAGACAAAGAGGAAAGCGAGAGGACCCTAAGGGGGCAGAGCTGGAGACATGTGAGTAGAGATTGAAAAGCAGAAGAAAGAAGAAAGGAAATGAAAAAGAGATAAAATAAGGGAGGAGACAGAGCAAAGCAAATGGAGAGAATCTAATAAATCAATTCTTTTATTTCTTCTTTAATTTCTTTCTAATGCAAAGCAGACTAGATTTATTTGACTATCTCTGGGTCCCCAATCAGCCCTCCTCTTCCTTTCCCATTTCTAACGCCTAATGGACCCTTCTTTTGCCCCCAAATCTGGCTGCCCTCTCTCTTGCTCACCATCCACAAGGCCGACAGCCCCTTATGTGGTTCTCAGGTGACTTAATTTCACCTCTAATTAGATCCCATGACCATTAGGGAATCATGCTCTATAACTGATGAAATCAAAATGTAATAATAAATATCTCATTTTCCCCCCAAGGTAGAATCATCAACTTCCTAACGATGTTTTTGGCACTGATATTTTCCTTGAAAGACCATTTTTGAGGTCTTTTGGGGATTAAAGAAAAAAGGCTGCCTCATTGAAGATGCTTATCAGCTGTGGGACAAGGACAGCCCTTTGCTATGTTGTTCAAAACAACAAGATCTAGGATGTGGTGGATGTGTACACCAAAATCCAGGTTTCCCCAGCCCACGAGATCCTGGCCTCACTGGGAACTAACAGAGTCAGACTCAGGGGAGAGGTGTGGGAATGAGTGTGTTTAATAGCTGTCTTTGTGATTCCTATATCAGGTACATTTGCAAAACACTGCAAGGGCCAGTAAAACAATGCTTCATAAACTTAAATGTGCACACAGATCATCCTGTTAAAATGCAGGTTTCGATTCAGCGGGTCTGATCTGACGTGGGACCTGAGAGGCAGCATTTCTAACGAGCTCCCAGTAATGCTGATGCTGCTGGTCCAGGAGCACACTTGGATAGTGTGCATAGATTTAGCAAAACAGCAACAAAGCAAACAAAAAACCCCAGTTACATATGAATGTCAAATAATCTATCTATCTATCTATCTATATATATGTATAATACACACATATGTATATATATATTTTAGTACAAGTATGTCCCAGGCAATACTGGGGACTTATTATTCATTGTTTATCTGAAATTCACATTTAACTGGGCATCTTGTATTTTATCTGGCAACTCTGAGTAGTAAGGCAAAAGCTCTGGACAGTGCTGCTGCCCATCGGAACCACCTGAGGGATCTGAACACACACTGAGGCCTGTATCCTGTCCCAGGGTGCTGATGTAAGTGGTAGGCAGTGAGGCTTGGGCACTGGGATTTTTTCAATTGCTCTGGTTAATGTTAGTAGGCACTACAGTTGGAGAAGCACTGACCTCAGTGAGTACTTCTGCAACTTGAGTGAGTCCGCAAGAATCCCCTGGAGGGCTTTGTTAAAACACAGAGGGCTGGCCTACCCCCAGAGTTTCCTATTCAGTAAGTCTCCAGGATGCTGACTGAGAACTTGCATCTCTAGTGAATGCCTAGGTGATGGGGTAGCCAGACTACACTTTGAGAACCACGCTCCAAATTACAGGAGAGAATGGAGTGAACAATGATGCAAAGTCCCCCTTCCCCCCATGGAGAAAACTTCATTTGCTAAAAGGCCATCAAATACAATATAAGGGTTGTAGTAGTCCAAGTACCTTCTGACCCACCAGAATATACATCTACCCTGTGAGTGAATGATGCATTGATGTAGGAGTCACAAGACCTATCTCCTGTCCTCTGGCCCCTTGCCATACCATGACTGACCCAAACACAGGACATCTATGCTCTCCATTCATCCCCCTGGGTCTGCAGAAGTGAGTCAGGTTGCTGGCATCACACATATGAAGTTTCAGGATGAAATCCATGCACCTGATCCTCCTGAGTGTGTGCCGAGTAGGTCTCCTATGTCATATCTGGTATTACCCTGGGCCCCAGTAAACTCAATGCACAATTTCTGAGTCTCCTTGGAGGCTCAGATATACCAATCCTTAATTCTGCAGACACCAATCCAATACCACATTCATTCTTTCACTCACTCATTCATTCATTCCTCTTAATTCTCAAAGGACTGAGGTGGCTTACAACAGAAATACAGTTAATAAAGGGAAAGAAATGAATTTATGAAATAAAGATCTGGTCCAGGAAGGTGTCAATTTAGAAGGTGAGTGACAAGACCTGAGGGAGGAAAGGAACAGAGCAGGAATGTATAGGCACAGGGCAGCCCAGCAGCCAGAAAATGATTCCGAGTCACCGTCCATCAGAACTTTCTATGAAGAACTCAAGCCCAGACTGAAGCTGATACTATATTGTAGGAGCTAGAAGCTTTAGTATTGTTTTTAACCATTACCTCCACCCCCAGGCATGGTTCACATTCCCGTATGAGAGGACACATAAGAATACACAGATACTCTCGTCCCAGGGCAGCGGGCCAGGCATGGTGCTGAGAAAGGACAGAGGGGCGCCGGAGCCAGACAGAGAAGACCCAGGATGCTTCTCAAGAGCAGCCTAGGGTTTCCTCATTGCCCACCTACCTCCCTGACAACTGAGGAAAGCACTATGGCCAGTCTCATCCATGCAGCCAGGAGTCTTGCTCACTGACTTAAGTTCACTGCAGTCTCAGCTGCACATCAGCACAGGGGAGTGTTCTACACAACCCATCTGTAGGAGGACTGGAGGCCAGTCCACTCCAGCAGCACTGTTAATGGGCTCCAAACACAAATCAGGACCACCATGCAGGAGGCATTGCAGCTGCAAAGTTGTTAAACCCCAAGGATCAAAAATGCTCCGCAGCTAGAGAAGATGATGGACCCGCCCCACCTCTCCACTGTGGGTTTACAAGTGAGTGGAGGCAGCATTAATGCTCATGCTTAACAAGTGTTGGGACAAGCACTCAGCATAAAAGAATTCAGTCTCTGCCCTCCCCATCCCAGCAATCACAGCTCTCTGGTGTTTTTGAGAATGCACAGAGTTTAGAGCTTGGTAGAACTCAACATTTCCTTTGTGCAAGGCCTGCATTTGTCCAGTGAGGAAGCTGAGGCTTAGGGAAGTTAAATCACTGCACAACCCACATTGGGGTTCCCTGCCTCCCAGGCACCTTTCTTTCCATCACCTAATACTGCCTCTGTTTCAAGCATCATCAGCTAAATTAAAAAGGCCATATTTTTAAAAATAGAATGTTTCTTACTCTGCGCTAACTCGGGCAGCCAGCGAGGAGCGTTGCCAAGACTCTTGGTCAATGCGTATTCCTTACCAGAGAAGGCTTGCCTAGTGTGAATCACAGGGAGACCGCTCTTCCCGCAGGGTGTTTTAGCACGAAGGTGAAGAGAAGGACCCCAGCCCCACCCAAGCTGGGGCAAAGGCCCAGCACCCTATGATCATTAAAAACTCTCCTTCCCATCAAGTTGATTCCCATTCATAGCAACCCTATAAGACAGAGTAGAACTGCCTCATAGAGTTTCCAAGGCTGTAATCTTTATGAAAGCAGACTGCCACATCTTTCTCTTGCAGAGTGGCTGGTGGGTTTGAACCACCAACCTTTCAGTTAGCAGCTGAGGGCTTAACCATCGCGCTACCAGGGCCCCTCCATGATCATTGCAAGTGATATTTTTTACCTGACCTCATCACCAGTCAGTTCAACCACATGAATTGGGTGCCCACCCCATGCCAGGTGTGGGAGGACAAAGACACAGCTCAACAGACCCAGGGACTGACTCCTGCAGGATGCCAAAGGTAACCCTAGTGGGTGCTGGTAAGTTAGGGAAGGCTGATGTCTGCATGTGTGTGTGCTTGAGGGCTCTAGGGGGGCCAGCGCCTTAGCTGGAAACTCCAATTCAGTCATGTCTCTAGTATGTAGTACAGACTTGGCTACATATTTTTTCTCAGAGATGGATGTAGACCACTAGAAAGGGCAGACCCTAGAGACCTATGTCTCTGCCTCCCCACCCAACTCTATGAGACAACTGATAACCAATCAACACTGATTACCAATTACAAATTATTCTGCCAGCTAAGAGGTAACTAGCAATGGTTATATGTTCAAAGACAGTTTGGTTAAAGCCTTTTCTTTTTCCGTTGAGTAGGGGAGAAGTCATATAGGGTTGCTATGAGTTGGAATAGACTCAATGGCAATGGGTTTTAACTGAAGGGGAGAAGTTGAAATCTGTAGCCATAGTGAAAAAGCAACTATGCTGGAACTGGAAGGAGCTCGTGACTTTGCAGGTGAGAACTCTGAGAACCTGGGGGTTTGGTCACTTGCTGGGGTCATAGGACACTTGTACCTAGGATCACACTCAGGCCTCCTGTTTGTTCCCATATACCAGGCACTACTGACTTCAGGCACAGCTCTAGCTCAGGCCCAAACACTCCTGTGTTCGCTCTTCCCTGCTCGCAGGGAGAGGAGACCTGGGTCCTGTGGAAGGCAGAAGGCCTTGTCCTTCCTCCTGGCACTGGCCTGGGTCTTCTTTACTTGGCCAAGAGCTCCCACGTGCCCATCTCTAAACACCAGCTGGCTGTTCAAGACCCAGAGCCAGGCAAAGTCTGCTTGGCTGTCAGGCCCTGGATGTTTTACCTGGAAGCCGCCTGCCTGTAAGCAATGAGCACTGATGCTGGCCCCTCTGAAGAGCAGGAGGTGCTCCTGGGCTGCCCCTCTCCTCTTCCTCCCCAGCATATCTTCCTCTCACCACCAGGACTGGGCCAACCAAACCCACAATCAATTTCTGCTATGCTAAGCAAGGTGAGGAGCCCTGGCAGTGCAGTGGTTAAGAGCTCAGCTGCTAACCAAAGGGTTGGCAGTTCAAATTCACCAGCCACTCCTTGAAAACCCCATGCGGCAGTTCTACTCTATCCTATAGGGTCGCTATGAGTCGGAATCAATTCGACAGCAATAGATTAAGCAAGGTGAGGTCCTCCAAAGAGAATCCCATACATATTCAATAATATGTTTTCAATCCAGAGTCCAACACTAGCATTATAAGCATTCCATAGCCTCCACCTCTCCTTCTAGCCAAGAGGAGAACTGACACTCCTCTTAAGCCGACTTTTTCCTTCTGGGAACGATAATTTACCCTTTGGTTAATGTTAGGAAGAAGTTATGGCCTTTCACTGTGCTCAGACTACATGTGTTTATTATCTACATCAGTCTGATGCTCTACTGAATTTTGATTTTTTTTAGTGTGAGTGATAGAGTTGCCTCCTCTATCAAAAACCTGGGTTAGTTTTCATTCCAACTCTCCTGTTTGCTTTTCCCGCTCCTGGCTTCCCTCCCACTCATCACCATGTATAAAGTGCTACCTTAATGAGATCTCATTTTCCCACACTGAAGGCAAAGGACAAGAAATCACATCATAGGAGCTGGATGAGATTTTATCCTCTCTGCCTCTTATTACTGACCTGGTTTCACACCTGGTAATAAACCCCATGCCATGTCTCTCCAAATCCCTCCACTCACAGGAAGCCTCCACTGGCCCAGGATGAGCCAGGACACTGGTGATTGCAGGCAGATGTTTGGTATGGAGGGAAGAGAAGCAAGCACCTCAGACTGTTGCAAATAAGTATCACTTAGCAAGAAGACATCCAAGATCTGAAGCAAAGAGAGTGTGCAAGGAGGCATCCTTCTTCCTCCCTCTCTCAGTACATGCTGTACCCCCACCAGGCAGAGAGTATGCAGAGAGCAACTCCCCACCCTCTAGATGGTCCTCTCCCAAGCAGCGTCACTGAAACAAGTCCTACCCACCCCTCAAAAAACAGCCAGGGGTTCAGAAATGACTAACATCCTACACCAGTTCCCAGAAGAGTCCCAACCCCAGGAGGTGTTCTCCTGACAGCCAGAATCCTGGGAAGAGGAGAAGAGCAGAGGAACTCTGATGCTCTGAGGACAAGCACAGACTGCTGGAACTTGGCTTTGGGGGGCCATGTGGAGATTCTTAGGGGAGATTCAGGAGAGGGCAGTCTGCTGGGCATAAGGATGGTGACAGGGCTCTTCAGAAGGTGGTGGTCCTGGTGAGCGGGACTTGCTAGCGGCTGGGTTCTGGCTGCACAGGCTCCTGCTGGCCAGGCAGTGAGGGGCATATGCACCGGGCCCCAGCATGGCTCTTGACAGCAGTGTAGTAGTCCAGGGGCTCTTCCTTGGCTCCTCCTGAGGCATCCAGGCAGCAGCAGCAAAGGCAGAGAACTCTCTGGAAGGGACAGTGGAAGTTGTCAGAAAGAAAGCCGTAGAGAATGGGGTTGGCACAGCTGTTAGTGTAGCTGAGGATGAGGGACACGTGGTTGATGGAGGCATCGAGGCTGGTCACAAACAGGTTCAGCAGCTGCACCACATAGAAAGGCAACCAAAAGAGCATAAAGACGGCCACCACCCTCAGCACCAGCCGAGTGATCTTCTCCGAGCGCCGCCGCTGCTGCCAGCCGGCCCACAGAGCCACCGCCCGCATCTTGCCCACAATGAGCAAATAACACAGGCCTATGGCCAGCACAGGCAGCAGAAAGCCCAGTAGTAACGTATAAACCACGAAGACCGCCCACCAGGCTGGGTGCGGCCAGCGCAGGTTGCAGGCTACGGCCTGACCGCCCTGTGCTGGCAAGGTGTCTTCGAAGATGGTGATTGGTAGGGTGACCAGCAAGGAAGCCAGCCACAGGCCCAAGTTAATCAGCTTGGCCACGCTGGGCCGCCGGTAGGTGGCCGCAAGCAGAGGGTGCACCACGGCGACATATCGATCCACGCTGAGCACGGTCAGACAGAAGACACTGGTGAACATGTTCAGGCCATCCACGCTGAGCACAGCGCGGCACAGCACAGACCCAAAGGGCCAGTGCCGCAGGGCAGCCGATGAGGCCACAAAGGGTACGCTCAGCATGAAGAGCTCGTCGGCAATGGCCAGGTTGAGCAAGTAGACTTTGGTGGCCGTCTTCATCTTGGCGTAGCGAAGGATCACGAAGATGACCAGGGCATTCCCACCAGGCCTACCAGGCACATGAGTGCGTAGATGCATTGGATGGCGACAATGCCCACCGCCCCCGCACCCCTGGCCCCTGCGGCCGCCTCCTCCGGGTCGCTGCTGGAGTTGGCCGCCGGGGGACAGGCCGTTTCCAGCCCTTCCTCTCCCCCGGGGGGCCGCGTCGGGGGCTCGCTCATGCCCGGGGTGCCCGCGGACAGGGCGATCACGGAGCGGCTGGGACCGGGGTTTGCGCGAAGACGAGCAGCTCTCCGCCAGCTCCGCCAGAACCGCGCGCAGAGGGCACCACTGTGAGCCAGCTGATCCCCCACGCGCCCCACGCCTCGGGCGTCCACCCGCCTGCGCCGCCTGCCCGCGCCCCTTCCACGCTCCGCACTCCCATTCCTCGCGGCCCCGCCCAGTTCTTTACCTCCCACTGCCCGGCCCCCTGCTCGCGCAGCCCCGGCTCTCCTGGTCTCTGGCCCCGCCTCCGGCCCTACCCTCCACCCCTAATCTGAGCGCTGCGTCCGGCTCCCCACCACTGTCTGCCCTCCCATCCGATCCGGCTTTCCCAGCCCTTTGCAGATCACTCCCGAGCTCTGCTCTAGAGGACCCGCAGCTAGCGGGTATGAGGTCCTTCCTTTGGGTATGAGGCGCTCGGGATTGGCTGGGGACTAACTAACCAAAGCGCGCAAAGCCAATTGCCGTGCGATTGACTTCTCCTCCGTGGCCCTCCCCCCCCCCCCTTTAATTCTCACGACGACCCGCAGGGCAGGTCCCATCATGGAATGCATTTTGTAGTGGCGAAACCTGAAGCTCCCAACTGCGTCCTGGTGAGTTCCAGGGTCAGCTGCGGCCCCAGCGCCCCCAACCCCCGCGCAACCCGCGGAGTCCCGGACGTTTTCGTTTAGATGTCCGCAGGGTTTAAGTGGAGTGTCTCGGGGAATGGAGATGGACACGCGGCGGCAGAGATGCGACAAAAGAAGACCAGCCTCAGACCCAGGAAGCTCGGTGCGCGGGCAGAGACGACAGGCAGTGGGGACGCGACACTGGGAATCTTCGCCTTGCGCCTGGCTCAGGCTTACCCAGCGGATGTCCCGCAGGTGTCTCGGAAATGTGGCTGTGGTCTGGGGGCCGAGAAGGGCCAGGGTTCCGGCCTGGGATTCTTCCTTCTCCACTCCTCCTTCCATACGCCGGAGGCTGCAAGCTCGCGCCACGGGCCGGACGCCCCTTGGCCGGACGTCTAAGATATTCCCCGGCTTCAGCCCCAGCCTCCCAGTTGGCACAGAGCACAACCGAATTCGTCAAGTGGGGATTTACCTTGGAAAATTCGTCGCAGGGTAGCTCTGGCCCATTGGAGCCTGCTGGCTGTCACATTAACTCGACCTCTGTGGAGCAGTGATCTCCTCAAGCCCCCAGAGCAGCCGCCGCCGGCCCCCGCAAGGCCTTTGATGGATCTGGAAGCAGCTCCTAGGCTGCCTGGAGTGGGTTCCGCCTCCTACACAGGTGGCTAGGGTAGCGGCAGAGGGGAGGGAACAGTATACTTGAGACCAACTCCAGGGGATCTCTTAGAGGAGGAGGCTGCAGGCTGTGGGCTGCTTATCATCCAGGCTTTTTGCGGTTTTGTTGTGGGGGGTTGGTGATCAGCACCAGTGAAACACAGTTGACCCCTATTTTAAAAGATTTGCCCCAGCAGTCCTCCACCCCTTAGTGTGCAGTCCTTCCCTCTAGTCTTATTCACAACATCCTCCCTTATGAGGAAGGAGGTGGTGCCTTTGTCATTGGAGATCTTGTAGGCATACAGGGGGTTAAGGGGAACCTCAGTATGTTAACTGCAGATTTTTGGGTAGATACTCGAAGAAGTTCCCCTCTATTCCTACTTGCTCAGTTTTTATCATGAGTGGGTGCTGGATTTTGTCAAATACTTTGTCTGCATCTATTTATATGGCCAAGGAGCCCTGGTGGCACACTGGTTAAGTGCTACGCTGCTAACCAAAAGGTGGTGTGTTTGAACCCATGGGAGAAAGATGTGGCAATCTGCTTCCATAAAGATTACAGACTTGGAAACCCGGATGAGGCAATTCTAGTCTGTCCTATAGGGTCACTATGAGTCAGAATCGACTTGACGGCTACAGGCAACAGGTTAATTGATATGACCATATGATTTTTCCTCTTTATCCTGTTGATATGATGGGTTGCATTAATTGATTTTCAAATGTTGAACCAGCTTTGCATATATAGAATAAATTCCACTTAGTTGTGGTGTATAATTCTTTTCATACTCTGTTGGATTCAATTTACTGATATTATTGTTGAGGATTTTTGCATCTGTGTTCATGAGAGATATTTTCCTTTCTTGTAATGTCTTTGTCTAGCTTTGATGTTAGTGTAATGCTGGCCTCAGAATGAGTGCGGAAGTGTTCCTTCTATTTTCTGGAAGAGATTGTAAAGAATTGGTATTATTTCTTCTTTAAATGTGTGGTAGAATTCATGAGTGAAACCATCTGGGCCTGGTGCTTTCTGTTTTGGAAGGTTATTTATTGATTCAATGTCTTCAACAGATATAAACCTATTCAGATAATCTTTTTGTGTGACTTTTGGTAGATTGTGTCTTTCAAGGAATTGTAACTGGACGCTTCCAGGTCTGCTTGGCATAGCTAGAAAGACATGAAGTGGTGAAAGTGGAAGAAGCAGCTTTATTTAGTTAGCCAAGTAAAGGAGCCCACCAGGACTTGTGTCGCCAAAGAGGCTTCCTAAACAATGGCCCAGGGGGTTTATATGGGTAAAATAAAATTGGGACTGGGGTCTTCAGGGACGCCCCAAGGTGGAGTAAGCCTGCTAATTGGTTTGGCCCATAAAGATGTTCCTGGGGCGGTCTGATCTTCTGCACCTGTTCAGTCTAAGAGGGGGACCATAAAGATGGCGTCTTGCCCACGTCTGGGGCATAGATGGGGGTGCGTTTTTCGGGCTCTGACGTCAATAGGTCATCCAAGGGACACAGTTGTCAGTACAGCACATGTCAGGCAGGCAAAGCCTGGTTCCAGATCAGTTTAGACTGGTTTTGAGACCTCAGTCTCTTGTTTTTCTTAACTGAGCTGGAACAGGAAGTATACCTAAATAAGGAGATATCTTAAAGACAGGGAGTTAGTTCCTATACTACCTAATAAGGAGATAGCTTACATGCAAGGAGTTAGTTCTCATATCACATAGGAATGGCAGGCACCACCCCTTGCTTATTCAAGATGGCAGGTGTGCTATTGGCCTCATTATTGTCCCATTTAATCTAAATTATCGTCTGTAGGCATAGAGTTGTTCATAATGTTCCTTTGTTATCCTTTTAATAATGTCCGTGGGATCAGTAGTGACAGCGTCTCTTTCATTTCTAATACTAGTAATTTGTGTCTTATTTCTTTTTTTTTTCTTGACTAGCCTGGCTGGAGGTTTATCAATTTTATCGATCTTTTCAAAGAACCAGCTTTTGGTTTTCTCGATTTTCTCTGTTAATTTCCTGTTTTCAATATCATTGATTTCTGCTCTAATTTTTATTATAGTAAAACCTGCAAAAGCTGGAATCTGCATAAGGCGGAAACCTATCAGAGAAGGAAAAATAAATATTTTCCGCTAAGTAGAGAGCAACAGAAAAGTGATGACTGCACCCTGTCAAAGATGGAAAACTTGTAAGACCTGGAAAAACAAGGCAAACTTGTTGAGTTCTGGCTCTCACGGGTTTCACTGTATTTCTTTTTTCTGCTTACTTTGGATTTAATTTGCTCTTCTTTTTCAAGTTTCCTAAAGTGGAAGCTTAGATTATTAATTTTAGATCTCTTATCTTTTCTAATATATGCATTCAATGCTATATATTTCCTTCTAAACACTACTTTTGCCGCATCTCACAAATTTTGATAAATTGTGTTTTCGTTCAGTTCAAAATATTTTAAAATGTCTTTTGATACTTCTTTTTTGACCTGCATGTTATTTAGAAGGGTATTGTTTAATCTCCAAATATTTTGGAGAGCATATGTTGTATGATTTCTATTTTAATTTGTTAAGGTGTGTTTTATGGCCCAGGATGTGGTCTATCTTGGTGAATGTTTCATGTGAACTTGAGAAGAACGTGTAGTCTCTGTTGTTGGATGAAGTATTCTGCAAATACTTTAAATTCAGTCGATGGATGGTGCTGTCTAGTTCAACCATGTCCTTACTGATTTTCTGCCTGCTGGATCTGTCAGTTAATGATAGATGGCTGTTGAAGTCTTCCACTATAATAGTGGATTTGCCTATTTCTCTTTGCTGTTCTTTCCATTTTTGCCTCACCTATTTTAACGCTTTGTTGTTAGGTCGGTTACCGGGTGGAAACCCCAGATTCTTACTCGGCATGATTCGTATGGGCCAATAAACGAGAGACCAAGGCACCTTTATTTCGTTGTACAAGGAAAAGGAGTCAGTCGGTGCTTATTGCTGCAAAGACTGTTTGCCAAGGGCAGGAAGGCAGGTTACTTTTAAAGGAGTTTACCAGTAGAGAGTTCATACAAGTTACATCAACAACAGTCTTAATCATACTACACAGGTGCAATGGGGTTTACATGTAACCTCCAAGCAAAAGCGGATTCAAATGCAAAGCTGCAGGGGAGGTGGGCTGGAGCCCAGCAAAGGAAACAATTTTGCAGTACAGCACTGTAGAGGAGCAAGCCAGGTAAAGAATACAGCACTGTGGGGGTTCTGTCTCACTCCTTCCATTTCTTTTTTGGACATTGGTCATTCAAGACCAGTGTCCATTTTGAAGTATAGCCCAGCTCGGAGTTGTTTGGCATATTTTCAGAGATGGGCAAATATCAGACCTAGGCCTTTCATTGTGGCTACTGACCTCTTGTTGGTTTATAACTGACTATTTACTAAATATTAAAAGAAAAAGAGTGACTTTTATGCTCTTTTTATGTGAATGTCTCCCTAAAAGATATTGTCTTCCCTAAAAGGTATTTTCCAAGATTATCCTATCTATTGTCTTTATCTCAGGGCCCAGTTTATGTGTCCTTGTGAGTCCTTGTGAGCCCTTGTGGGCCCACCTCCAGCTGGATCACATTCTGTATGCTCAAGGACAGGGAATAATGATTCCAATATTATTTTCTATGTCATTCCCTGTTGTTGATTGGAGATTGGAGATAACACATCGCTGATCAATACCTGAATTTGTTGAGTTCCTAAATGGTGCCATTGCAGGCTCTTTAAACTCATGG